GGTCGACTCTGAGGATGCAATGAATACACCTGACCTAGGGAATGAGATATTTATTGAAATTGCACAACATTAATTATGAAAAGTACAATGAAAGCATCCAATATTCCTAATGAAATATTCAATGAAAGCGCACACAATTAAATATGAAAGAGGCAATGAATACACCTGACCTAGGGAATGAGATATTTATTGAAATTGCACAACATTAATTATGAAAAGTACAATGAAAGCATCCAATATTCCTAATGAAATATTCAATGAAAGTGCACACCATTAGATATGATAGAGGCATTGAATACACCTAACATAGTGAATGAAATATTTATTGAAATCACACAGGATTAATTATGAAAAAAGCAATGAAAGCGCCCAAAATTCCTAATGAAATATTCAATGAAAGTGCACACCATTAATTATGAAAAAGGCAATGAATACACCTAACCCAGTGAATGAAATACCTATTGAAAGCACACAGGTTTAATTATGAAAAGCACTCTGTGGCCTTGCCTATATCTTATGAGAAGAACATAGCCTTTATGAGAAAGAAAGACACAGGACACACCTATGAAAGGCCTTTCATAAAACTTGTGGACTTATACACACAGCTCTACAGGCAAGTGCCTTAGTTTTATGATAAAGGTGGTAGCCACTTGTGACTGCCAACACTTGGAATGTATGCAATCACTGATTTTAAATGGTAGGTAGGCTTGGCAACGTCCCTAGATGTTGCACATCAGGTTCTAGCCAGAGCTGAGTAGGGTCAAGACCAAGCAAAAACTGTCTTTTCGCCCAAACAGTTCTCTTGCAAACAGGTGACGAACCTCCACGAAAAAACCCTTCCCATGCTATGCGAAGTTGTTGTGAATGTCAAAAAAGACAGTCCTACAACAGTCCTTCTCTGGTTCCATCAACAGTCCTGCTCTGATTCCATTTACATGCATTGCGTGACCCTTCATCATCAGCAACCTGACTTCACCCCTTTACACATGTGTTTTGTTCGTCTTGTGTTCGTCACTCTTCCTTAAGCTTCCTTGCCCACACACCGATCCATTCTTGCCAACTCGAATACATATCTGTCGCCAAACAAATCCTCCTCGCCTGGTGCAGACTTGCTCGAAGGCACAGGTCCTGCCTCATCCTCATACCAATCCACTTTGCCTCTGCCCTTTTTCACCCCAATCCGCCTCTCCACTGGCCCCAGTGGGGGCCAAAAGCACTGCCAACATGCCACGCACTGAGAGGCATTCATATCTCTTACGTGGTGCCCCATCCTCATCTGGATGCCTGATGTCATCAACCCCCGCTCCACTATCATCAATGTGGATTTGCATGCCATTGTACCACCTGTTCCTGTCCCTCCTTGACATACCCACCACCCATTCCTGTCCCTCCTTGACATACCCAATGGGGCCAATTCATACTCCATGCAACCCCCAGATATGATCCCAGTCCAGAATCAATGTGAATCGAACGCAACTACGCCTCCATGATCTCATCTTTCAAGAACCACACTTTTGAGAACCACACTTTTGAGAACCACGGATAGGTTACTTTCTAAGACCCTAATTCTCCGTCTCTCTCTATAGATGACAAAGACATGAAGCTCAGCTCTCTCTTTTCCCCTTCAATGTGGTCATACATGCTTCTACCCACTGACAATGATACTTTGAGTGTCTCACCACCATTTCTGGGCCTTTTCAACTGCTCTCTGCCTGGTGCAGACACATGATGACGCCCTGTCAGAGGAGCTAGGGCTTCCATTGGCCCCCAAACTCAGCGCTTTCCATCACTCACTCTTCCCTCTTGCAGGCTCCATTCTCACACCCTATCAGCCCATGGCAGATGTGTCCTCTCATATCATGTTGGTGGCAATTAAGGCTTTCTTTTGGTGTGTCTCAAGCTGTCTTATCGTTGTCGACTCACTTATATCATTTTAGGTGACATCTACCTTGGAATTAACATCATCTCGGGTGAAGAATTTGCCAACAAACTCGAGCCCACCAAAGCCAAGCACCCTAGATCACAAGACTCTTGCAGGCGGCGTGCACGTCCCCTTCATCAGATGGTTTGGCACCAAATGCGACTACAACACTATGGTTGTTGACCTTCTCAAGCCTTCTCTTGAAGATGTGTTCAACTTTTGCAACCATAAGCTCAGCCTTCTCGCCTTTTGTCTGGTTTCTGGATCCATCCTGCATTTGTTGTCCCTCTAACCCCCACCTCATCCCAGGCTTTGTACTTACACAGGACCTCAGAGAGGGCAAGCTGGTCAAAGAGGGTGTCATGTTCGGTGGACTTGGACCCTGGGTGAAGGAATGCTCATCAGGTGGCTTGCACATCTAATGCTGTTTATTCCTGTACCACCAGTAGTTGAAATAATTTACACAAGCTGTAGTCAATCCACGTCCTCCTTTTATTATCACTCTCATTTGGCCTACTTGTATTTACATTTAGGTGTACCGCTGTTCACAGCCATGTGTCATAACATGACATGTTGAATGGATGTCACATATTCAACAATGTTTGCACTTTTTTCTCTTTCCCAACCTTGGTGAGTGTTCTCCTCTGCTCCAGGGATTTGAAAGGCTGGATTTCCTGCGAAGACTCGAGCCCAGGACTTGGCTTGGAGATTCAGCCTGGAGAAACCTGGAGCTCTATAATTATAGGTTGATGATCATTTTCACGCAGCTGCACAGACCACCCACCAACTCCATTTTTGCGCATTGTCCAATGCCAATTGTCAAGCAGTGCTCTTGTGATCTAGTGACTGATGACGCCGCTCAGCCAGGATGAAATGGCTGTCTCAAATGTAAGCTTAGACAAGTTTGGTCTACAAAAACAGGGACACCTTCAAGACCACCTCAGCTCCCCACTATGGGCATCGAAAATCTATGGAAGGTAAGCATGTATTGATGATGATGTGACTGTGGTGGCTAACTAGCAAATCAAAGTTGTTGGAACCAGTTGCAGAGCATATCTCCTTGCATCAGCTGGCCATTGAGGAAGGCTTTGTGAACAATAGCGGGGGAGTAAGGGCATTGATGCAAGGTATGCACCCTGCTATGAGTTTTTTTTAATCTGACTCACCATCTTCAGCAGTTGGGTATACCGCACACTCTACAGGCATGGTGCTTCAAAAAATCCAGAGCTGGCGACACTTTATGCAAGATGCTGCCACCTGCTCAATAAACCCATTCGGCCATACTTCGTTTTCGACGGTACAAAGCACTCTAGTGTGAAATGGGGCAAGCACGTTCAAGGCAACCCTCATTGGATCGAGCGGGATTTCAAGAAAATGTTACTTGCCTTTAGATTTTCATCAGTAGTGGTAGGTTTTCCCCCATGCATCCATCTTACCATTGCTCATGTGGACACATTTAGGCTCTTGGTGAAGCTGATGCCAAGCTCACTTGGCTTTCCAAGGAGGGCTTCATTGATGCCGTTGCAAGCGAAGATTCTGATTTAATAGTACTTGGCACTGTGGTTGTCCTTCGAAAGTGAGTGAGCTACTGCAGTCAAAATACCTTTCTGATGTCTTTCTCTTGTAGCTTTCTTCATGAGGACAACGACGAGAAGGTCACCATATATTGCGCAGACGCCATACGAAAGCATGCTGGCCTCAGCCTCACCAATGCCAATTTCTTGGTGATTGCTTTGCTGGTTGGCGGCGACTACAACATAAGTTGTCTAATTCATAGTTCATGATTGGGACCTAATGCTTGGGTTTGCCATAGGGCGGCCTTGAACAGTGTGGTATCTGGACTGCAGCTGGCCTTGCAAGGGCAGGGCTTGGGCATCGCCTTTTGCATGGCTTGTCCCAATCCCAAGATGTTGACAACTTTCTGGAGGTGTGGCGGAATGAGTTGCATGATGAGCTAAGAACAAATGACTCTGGCCATCTCCCCTCCTGCCTACCTGCTCTCTCTAACTCCATCCCTTCCAATTTCCATCAGCTCAAGATCATCAACCTTTATCAGCATCCTCTCAGCTCAAAGACCATTCCCACAGATCTTCTGGGCTGTCACCCCCATCCTATTTTTCTTGTGAATTTTGCAGAGGAAAATTTCAGCTGGGGTAGTAGTCACGGCATTCTCTCGCACTTTGAAACAACAATATTTCCTGCTTTGGCCTCGACAACATCTGCCGTATTGCACGTGAAACCGATCATGGTCTGGCCAAAAGACCCTGCCAATTCATTGGCAAGGTCCTTCAACGCTGGGTCCCTTTGAAAGCTCAAGACTGTCCACACCACCCTGAGGCTCGGTTATCTCTCATTGTGCCGGAGATTCTATCATCCACTCACTATTAGGCAAGTTGAATGATGGTGAAACTGAAGGGAAAGTGAATGAGTAGCGATTGAGCGTGCTCCCAAGGATGAGGGTGTGGCTTCCTATTGCGATGATTCACGCAACATTCCCAGACCTCATTCCAGTAGGCAAGTCTGTTGTTTGTGAGATCTCAGAACATGTGCTCACCCAGAATTATCCCTTCTCAGCTGGTAAGAAGAATGCTACCTGCAGTGCCTGTATGAGTACTGGTGGAAAGGTCCCTTGTGCATCAGGTAAACTACTGCTCCACAGCCTTGCCTCAATTAATGTAATTAATCACTTCCAGGGTCAATGGTCATGCCTCGCCCTCTCAAACAAAAACAAGAGAGATCTCTTGAAGACGACGGCTCTGCACCTTCAAGTAAATGACCAAAGCACCACAAAACACCACCTGCAGACCATTTCAACATCATCGATCTCACCACTCCCGAGCCCATATTTGAAGATGTATTCGCACAAGAACAACAGAATCACCACGATGTCATTGACACAATCAACCTCACTCAATCTGATCATGAACAAGGTATGAAAGCAAATGTGCTCTATCACTGCATGACCCCCTTAACACATCCACAGTTACTGGGCTCCCTGAAAGGTGGTATCACCTTGATGTCTCAGATGATGGGCACCTCCTTGAATTCATCACTGACTCAGAGGGAGAGTTGTAAATAGGAGGTTCAGCTACCCTTGCAGCCATCTTACAACCCCCACTGTATATAAAGTATTCATTGAAATGATGACTCCTTTGCCTTCCCCACCATGGTTGCCCCACCATCCAGTCTTTCTCATAAATTTTCTGCACTCAACTCTTGTGAGGATGACGACAGGGTAACAGAAGAAGAAATTGAACTGACCTTGAGGATGAACAAGCCACAGTACCAGATCTTGTCCATAAGGATTTGGAACCAGGAAATCATGAATTCATGCAAACTTGGAAGAAATCCGTCTTCGGCACATCAAAAGAGGTAACTGACAAGACTGATGGTGAATACCAACAGTGATAATATGGTCCATTGAAATTGAGGTGCACGTTAACATGTCTTCAATTTAGGCTGAAGATACAATGCACATCTTTTTTGATATCTTCAGGTCTTATTAAGAAAGAGGCAGAGCTTTTTTGCAAGTCACCTCCTGAAGATGCACCATTTTTCATCAGTGCATGGATTATGGACAAGTAATTTATTATCTTTGCTCATATGTACCCTTTTTAACAGAATGCAGGTGTGATGAGGTCACCTTGGACAATAAGGCCCAGCCATCAAATGAAATCTGTGATTCATACACACAAGCACAGAAGATGCATGCTGCCATGACCAAATTTTTTTCACATGAGTATGGCCTTGGGTCGCTTGAATGGCATCGAACCAGGGATGGTATGGTTGGCAACCCTTCCATCTCACCAGAGGTTGCCAATGATATGAGTGGTCTGCGTCACTGGAAGGTTGGTTTGTTACATCATCTTTGCCACAATTTTTTACTTTTATCAGGTTAAAGCTGGCTGCGAAGCAACCAGTGCGCGCACCATCACAGCTGTAGGTCATCTCACAAAGTCACATATTCAATGACCTGATAAGCATGTGGACAGGATATTATTGGCAGGCTTTATGACTTCAACCACCTCCCAGAAAACTGGGCTTTGAAGCAATACAGCCCTGTCTCTAGACAAGATGCCGCCAAACTCCATGAGTGGGGTGGAGGGTTGACATGTCGGGCATTGCATGCAATATATGCAATATCTTTTCTGTGCTTGCTGCGCATCGACGAGGTCTTGAAAATTCGAAGGTCCCACATTGAAATTCAAGACGATCTCATAATTCTAACATTACCCTTCCGAAAAACACATCAATACAGCCGTACGTTCTCTGTTCATATTCCCTAGATCATCTTACAAATTATATTCACAGGTGTAAAGCCATTCTATCTACACATGCTTGATGAGGCAGATGCCCACCTTTGTCCTGTCTGTGCCCTCGCTGATTGGATCAATACCACTACCATCACCGAGGGCTACATCTTCCACAAAATAGGATCAGGTGAATGGCCTGTCGCCAAGGACTCTCCAATGGTCTGTTTCATTGCTATTTAACTTCTCTACTTCGTTAATATTATTTTATTTCATCTATAGACCTCTGAACAATTTCTGGAGCACTTTCGTAACAATCTTCTTGATATCGGGATTGACCCATCCCCTTACGGAACTCACTCATTTCGATGCGGTGGTTGTCAGTACCTGTCATTGGAACGTTGTTGGCCTCTATGCACAATTTGTGATTGGGGCAGCTGGAGCATCGAATTTTCCAGCATGACAATTGTCAAATATCTTATTTCATGGAATGACAACCCAACAGAATCACACGAGGACTTATTTAACCCAAGGCGAGCCCCAACCATAAAGTGCCCACGATGTGGACGTTCTTGTGCTTGTGCATAAGAGTTCTGTTATATTAGGCAAGTAGGCTATAGATCTAACTATGAAATGCATCATTTATGTACTTCAATCTTTGCCATCTGAATCTCCACCAGAAATTCCTTTGAGTAATCGATATGTCTTTGTGATATCTGAAGGCTTCGTCTTGATATGAGAAACCCCATTCTTTTTGTACGAAAAGAAAGTCGGGAAGTCGGTGGCATACTCAGCCCTAGCGTGTTCAGCTGTGGCGTGGTCTTCATCCTTGCGAAGCTCTGAAAGTCGTTGGATGATCTTCGTGAAGCAGAGCCGCTGCCCATTATGTGAAAACTCGTCCCAAAAGCTGGTGTCTGTTTCTTGGCGGTAGCGATGCACAACGACCTGTAATGTTGACTTTCAAACAAAACAGCATTGAGAGATCTAAAAAAAGCGTACCTTCCAGTTGAACCACTTGCTCTTCATACCATGCCATTGGCGCGGCTTCCACGGGCTTCCACAGTTAGAATTCATACAAATGTCCTTCCAATAGACAATGGGTATTGGGTGACCCTTGATCTCCAACACCGACGTGCCACCCCAATTGGGAGTGGTGTCATCCCACATTTTATTGAGGCCAGCAACTAGTGTTTGAAAGTTAGGTTAGTTAACCGGAAAATAACCGGAAAATAACCGGACCTAACCGCAACACTAACCTAACTGCGGTTAGGGTTCAGTACTTTACCATCCCCCACATAATCCACATGGACTCCACTGGATTCCACTGGATTCCACTGGATTCCACTGGACTTCACTACATACTGGCAATATCCACAAATCTGGACTCCACTGGACTCCCAGCACAAAACTGGACTCCACTGGACTCCACTGGACTCCACTGGACTGCAAGCACAAAACTGGACTGGACTGGACTGGACTGGACTGCAAATCACAAAACTGGACTGGACTGGACTCCACTGGACTCTCCCAACACAAAACTGGACTGGACTGGACTGCCACAGACCTAAGTTAATCCAGAATTCCTCTTCAAAACAAAAAATAAAATTGAAGTATATTCATTAATTAAATTAATTAAATTTACATAGATTCTATGTTACAGAGGGGGGAGGGAGGGGGAAGGGAAAGGGAAAGGGAGGGGAAAGGGAAAGGGAGGGGAAAGGGAAAGGGAGGGGAAAGGGAAAGGGAGGGGGAAGAGAGGAATGAATAGAGGGGGGAGGGAGCAAGGAAGGGGGAAGGAAAGGGAGGGGGGGAGAGAGGAGCAAGGAAAGGGGGAGGGGGAAAGGGGGAGGGGGGAAAGGGGGAGGGGGGAGAGACTGAAGGGGGGAGAGTGTGAAGGGGGGAGGGAGTGGAGGGGAGTGGGAGTGGTGAAGAGAGGAGGTAGTGATGGGGGGAGAGAGTGCAGGGGAAGGGTGATGCTGCTGGGCCCTCGTTTTTTGTGGGTGTATCGTTTTTCAGGTGTGGTGGGGGCGGTGTTTTCGTCGGCACTCGTTCATTGTCGTTGTCGCGTGTCGTTGTTGTTGTCGTGTGTCGTCGTCCCGGCGTGTAGTCGTTGTCGTCGTCGTCATGGGCGGTGGCTGGTTTTTGTGTGACGTGGCAGCAGGCGGTGGTGGCCGGTGGCCGTTTTCCGTGGACGCTCGTTCGTGTACGTCGTGTGGTCGGCTTCGCGTGTTGTCATCATTGTGCTTGCGTGTCGTCGTGCTCGCGTTTCGTCGTCGTCGTCGCATTTCGTCATTGTCGTCGCATTTCGTCGTCGTCGCATTTCGTCGTCGTCGCATTTCGTTGTGCTCGCGTGTTGTCGTCGTGCTCACGTGTCGTCGTTGTCGCCGTCCTCATGTGTTGGTGTCGTCGTCCTCATGTGTCGTGCATGGGTGGTTGCTGGCGTCGTGCCTGTCATGGTGAGAACGGAGGAATGGGGTGGTGGGGCATACGTACCCCTTGCCCATGACGTTGCCACTTCATGGGTGTTGTCCCTCGTCCTTGGTCCATCGTTCCATGCTGGGGGTGTCGTTGTCGTTAGCGTGGGCATCGTGTGCGTCGTTAGCATGGGCGTGGGCGTGGGTGTCGTCGGCGTCATCGGCGGTGTTGAGATGTGAATGGTGGTGGTGGAAGGGAAAGGGATGGTGCACGCCCTCAAGTAAGTCATGTGACCTCACCCCGCAGACTGAACAAAATCATAAATCCTTATTGCAGCTATCACTGACCCACACTATATGTAAATTATAACATTTCCATTCATTGATCAATTAGTCTATTTTCGCTTTTTTCGTAGTATTCATATATAATTATAATAATATGCTGGAATGACTGGAATCCACTGGAATCCACTGGACTCCACTGGACTCTGACTGGACTCATAGTCCACTGGACTGGGACTGGACTCAGGAAAGTGGCTGGCAGTCCAGTGGGAGTCCAGTGGACTGGACTGGACTGGACTGGACTGGACTCCAGTGGACTGGGCATTCTGCCAGCCAATCTGGCCTGGTAAGAGGGCCACTGGAATCCACTGGAATCCACTGGAGTCCACTGGAGTCCACTGGAGTCCATATGGATTACGTGGGGGAGGGTAAAGACCTCATTAGGGTTAGTTGATTTCGAAAATGGAATAACCGGTTATTTTGCAGTTAACTAACTGTTAAATAACCGGTTATAACCAGCCCTATTATACACCTTCAAAACGCACTTGAGAACGTCGAAAACGCTTAAAATTTGACTAAGTTACAGTCAAATCTCTAAAATATCACTCAAATGTGTAGACTTTCAAGGATAATTGCATAAATATGTCAATTCTTCGCCAATTTTAGCGTTCTTGGGCTCGTTTTAAAGCTAGAATATGCAGAAATAATATCTATCAAGATACATATGAACATATTTGCCTTGTTATAACCGATTCTTTATTTTTCGGTCCTAACCGGTTAGTAACTGCAAATAACCGACCATAACCAGTTAGTTGCGGTCCAGTTCGGTTATTTTAGGTTTCGGGACAAAGGCTAACCAGTCTCGGTCTCGGTTAGAGCCCTTGGGCACCCAATAACCGGACCTAACCGGACTTTCAAACACTACCAGCAACGTTGTCAGCAAAGCCGGTTAGCGGTGGAGAGCCAACATCAGCCTCCGTGAAAGTGAGCTCAGTGCCGTCACCCAGGATGATCGTGCGTGTCGGTGCTGAGCTGGAGGTTGCAGCTGAGGTGGAGGTTTGTGTAACTGAGGTGGCCAGATGGCGTTGTACTGGCTGTTCGTTTGGGGCTGTGACTTGCTCAGACAGCAAGGAAGGGGCAGATGGATGGGTGGCTGTCAGGGAAATGGTAATGCAGTCACTGGCCGTGCCAGCACTCATATGAGAGAGGTGGTGATTGAGTTCTTCAATGTGTGCATTGGTGAGCCTGAGGTTTTCCTGTAGCGCCAGGTCACCACCAGCCTGTGGTGGATTAGAGACAAATGTTAGTTGAGAAAATAGAACACGCACCATTCTTTTTGCGAGAGCTTTCTCTGCTGCTAACTTTCAGGCTGCCAATGGGACATAGGGATGGGACTCCACAATTTTTCATGCCTGTGCAGAGCTTGATTCAAAAGACAGAAGGAAAAGGTGGTGAAAGAATGCATGACGTACCCAGCTGAGCAGTTGCTCTTGCTCACGTGTTGTTTGCTTGATTTGGCCACTTTTGGTCTCTGTTGGGAGAAGGTGGGTGATGGGTGCGGCCATCACTGACCTGCTGAACATCTCCTCGGCGCATTTGGTTGACCTCTTTTTGGTCTTGGTTGGTTTTGAGCTGGCCCCATATCTTGCATTGAGATGGGCTCTTCGTGCCCCAGGAATTGTCCTGTGGATGCATCGATAAATTTCTTCTTGGGGTGACATAGTAACATACTCACCTTCCGGCGGTGAGATTCACAACTTCATCCGTGTTATTGAGTGGCGTCATTTTGGCCGAAGTTCTTATGTGAACCCATTGTTTGGGTCAAGTGCCAAAAGGCACCCCCCCTCATGGAGTGATAATGACACGTTGTGCCCGGGTGGTTAGGGAATGGCCAGAATTGTTGAGTTGAAAAACATAATGTCTTTTACGGCCAAAGCAGGAGTCAGCTGTAGTGAGGCAAGGAGTGCAGGGAGAACTCACCGGAAACGATTCCAATTTGGAGAAACGTCGTGCTCGGTGGTTCACGAGTGGGTGAGTTCCAGACAAGGGCGACGCTAAGCCCTTGAAGAACAGTCATTTTAAGACAGGTCCGAAGCGCGAGAAACGACTCACTATAGAGAGCGCAAGACCGAAATGTCCTCGAGGTTGGGGTTGTCCAAGGAACGTTCTAAAGCAAAATATAACTTTACGGCATCTTTGAACACGATGGAGCCGCTGGCGGCACCTGCTAAGCAAGTGTTTAGATTAGGGAGAGACGAAGCGCACCAACAACGAAAACTCGCCGTAGGAAAGGAACTTCCGACATGTCACCCGGCACGCCAAAAGTATGCAACACTCAACAACTAGACAAGAAGATAAAAATACCTAAAAGGCGTAGTTAGTGGTTTCGATCAGTCAAGTTTCTTCGACGGGAGCTTACAGCTTTGTTAAATCCCAAAAGCCTGGATGGAGTTGTAGCCACGTGAATACTTCATCCATTCCAAGTAGGTCGCGGGCAACGTATACCCTAGGTGCAATTTGAGTCCAAGGAAAGACACTGCCGGATAAGAGCTTATCTCGAGAAACAGATTGACGTTCGAGGAAAAGGTGAACTCGACATTCGCGGTTTGTCTCATTAGGCCTGTCAAATGGACATTACGGACGGCTCCGAACGTTACGCAAGCTAGTCGAGGTGCTAATGTTGGGCTGTCTACTTCAAGGAGTCGTCAGACTCGTCACTGCCTTACGCCGCGGGTTTGTGGTTGGTTTCGTCATCCCAGCTAATTCAGGTCAGGTCATGGCTCCGTTGATTTCCTCGCGACGGCGAACGTGAATCTCAACTAGACATTTGTTGAGAGCCAACTTAGAGACGCGTCATTTGAGTGGGTGATTGCTTGTTGTGGTTAAAGTGAAGAGACGCGATCACGCATGTTGAACAAAGCTATCACCATGCTATCCGAACTCACTGCGCATGACCCACACAATTCGAAGCACGACGAAGTCAAGGCGCGTAGGACTTGAAGGAAGCTGAAGTTTGCACAATCCCCAATCCCAGAAACCCCAGATACCCTTTGCTTGCCCTCTTTTCAGCCGCGACTTACTTCCTTCCCTCAACGTCTCGTCTTCTTCCCAGTCTTGGTCCGTTCCCCCGTCACAATCCAGAGTCCAATCAGCGACTGCAATGGGGATATCATAGCCAGATCCAGCCAAAACCCTCTTTATAACTTGAACCTCTTCGACGTCAAGGAGGACATTGGCTGCTTGAGGAAAAGGTATGTAGAGTCACGGCAATGCTGCAGCTGTACGGCGATGGCATAATCCCTCAGTTGGGATCTTGGGATCCAGTGGTAAGTCATGATCAATATAATCTGACTGGTCAAAAACACTCCCATTGCATCGCCTAGCCGTCCTTTTGCTCCCCTCTTCGAGGCGCGATCGCCGGGATGTGGGGTAATTGAAAGGGCTTCGCTGGGAATTCTTATGGGCTCGTCATATTACTCGACGTCGAATCACGACCTGGACAAGTTAGAGAAATACGCAGGAGGCAACAGTGGTCAGGAACGATTCGAAGGAAAGCAGGAATGAATCATCAACATCCTTTCAAGTTGACTTGACGGATACAACACACAAGGGGCTCAACATCTCTTTGTTGCTTTGTGAATGTCACGCACGCTGCAGTACATAAACTAGATGTCTCAGACAATCCCACCCTACCTCCCTCACACTGAATCTCAACGCCATCGCCCACTCTCCCAATATGGGTGATCCGAGCTACCTCCGCCTCGTACCCTCCTCTTCCGCCACCATCCCCATCGACTGGACTAAAGTCCCTGAAGCATCTAAAAAAATTCTACTCGAAGGCTGGGGTACCGACTACTCCGAGACAGAGACAAATACCCAGTCCGACTCAGACTCCGAGGGCTCCCACCCACGCCGATTCAAAGCCGCCCATTTCCCGGGACCATGCGAAGATGTTTGACGAATCCAAATTCTTTGGCTACATGACACCTGAGCTCTGCACGCTCCTCCTTGACATCAGCGAGTATGGGCTCGCCAAACCTCACCCTACTGAAACCGGTATTCCAGTAGGCCCGCGCTTCTACATGAAGTATCTGTCCGAGGTTTGGTTCGTCCTTTTTGTGTCGGGGTGCAGGGATGGGATTACCGGCTACAGCCCAGAAATACCAGACATTGAGGACTTGGATGAAGACGAGGACGCGTATGGAGAACAGGAAGCTGAGGGGATTGCACGTGAAAAAGTATTGGCCGAGGATTACGACGTGAAGCTCTGCGAGGAGGTTAGTCAAATGGGAACGGCTGGGGTAGCAGCCTTAAAAAAGGGTGGCTGGATGGGAGGGTTCCACGCTGAAAAGCAGTATGGAGTCTGCACAGGTGACGCAGGCAATCATGGGACTTCCGACTGACCACCCGGCGCATATGGCTATGATGCAAGGTTGGAGAAGCTTGGTGACTCGTCGGTGAAGTGTCGGAAACCCTGTCCATAATGAACAGTTTGCGGAGTCCACTTGAAGCATTCATGGATCCAAATGTTTTACAGTTTTCTGTGCCTCCAGTATCAATGCATCTCTTTTGTTTATTCACGCGACCCTTTGCCAAATCCACATTTCTGGATCCAAATCTCCTGTACTTCGGCCAAGTGAGATCCATCATACACGTTGATTTCAAGTCTGCCAACCTGGGATTCGATATAATTTTCCGCAAATGGCGGGCGCTTGTACTTAACAAAAACACGAACTCAACATCCCTAAAGAAAATTGAGTTCCTGTCTGGTCCTGTGTTGACCCGAGAGAGAATAAGGGCAACTAAAAGGGATCTCAAGGACATTTATGAGACAGGTATGTCTTTGTTTGGGAGTCGAACCCAGCTTTCTTTCCTATGAATTGACCGGCGTGTTGTAGTCGCCAATTTACTAACAAAGACGTTGAAGGGGTGCGTCTCTGACGGACTGTGATACGAAGATCTAGCGCTTGGTGACTTGAAGCAGGCTGTCTTCATGTGCATAATGGGGGCGTTGATTTTTGCAAGCGTAAATGTAAAATCATGCAAAAATTCCACACTGGGATGTAAGAACTGTGATTATGCATAATAACCAGTATTTGAACTTAGCGCAATCGCGAAAACGTTCACGTCCTTCAAGTTGGTACGATGTGGGCGACTCGGAGCATCCATACTTTCTTCTGGAATCGTCTAAGCTGGCATGGTCTGCATCTCCTCTAGCATAATCAACATCTATCATGCCAACACGATCACCAACCACACACCACCCGTGTGCCCAAACCCAACACATCCTCCATCAGCAGCACGTGCACGGATAACACGTGTGTGTGTAGGAAGTTGAATTTGATAGAATGGGGTCGAAGACTCGGAACTCGACAAAGCCAAAGTCAACATCGCCGGGGTTGAAGATGAATTCACGGCAGCAGAGGTGAACGGCATCCTGAAAGATGAAGTCGTCGTAGAAGGTCTTCGCGTCTGCCGTCCGGCATTGGGCTTGAGAAGCGCAACAAGATGGGGATCCCTAATTCTGAGAGATTATGTGCGTATTGCGTAGAGTAGAGGTTGTGTTCTGAGCCCAACTTTTCTGAATCTCAACTTCCTTTCACCTCATTCAGCCCCACGGAAAGGCATTTCTCCCTCAGCTGCCACTGCGTCCACCAGCGCATGAATTCTAACGGAGGGGGTTAGGTGGAGGACTTTGCGTAGCAATCGCGCGGAAATGACGGGGCGAAGTTTATCGGCGGAAGGAGGATTACTTAGAGGGGAAGGGCCGGATGCCAGCCATAGTATGGGGACCAGTCTGCTCTGCAACACCTTCGTCGAGATTGCAGTGAGATTTCAACCGCCTCTGCATCATGCAGCTGTTTGAGGACGTTGTCTGTGGAGGCTCTGCACGCAGGTGCCAGGGGAGGCCGAAGGAAGGAAGCAGGAAAGAAAAGGTAGAAGGAAGGAAGGAAGGTAGAAGCCACACGGTTATTGTGGGTTTATGTGGGGTGCTTCAAGGACGGGCGGCATGGATCACGAATGCATGCCCATCTGGATAGGATTGACACAGATGAGAAATCGTCAGTCGTTCCGAGTGGACCTGGCTTGAGCTGATGATTTGGTGGGGCAGTAAAAGAAACCGCGTGTTTCCAGAGTGGTGGCCTGGAGGGTGTTCTTCAACCTGTTGGACATCAAGATCGTTTACTGTTTTTATTTGGAAAATCGTCAGTCGCATATCGTTGATTAGAGTGACACCAACCTTCCAAATCTTTGCTCGATAAGTAGCATGACTGAGTCGCCCATTTGTCAAGGTTTCTCGGAAACCCGCCGACGGCAGGCGGGAACCAGCGCTCGGAGACCTTTCCCGGCACATATCGATAGCTGACCACCAGTCCGAGGCATCTCCATCCCCGAGTACCCTCCTTTCCAACTCCTTTCCCTACGCCAAACCCGCATCCAGGGGACCTGGTAGTGCTGGAGGAGAGAGGCAGTATAAGTTTGAGCCTCGGAGATTGATTTGAGGGAGCGTAGGATAAGATGTCCTGCAACTTCAAGAGCCGTTTCTGATTTTGTCCGACATTGGTATTTTTGCCCTGGGCGACGGGAACGCACATGCAGCGAACTGGCGGTGTGGGCATTGCAGAAGCGGACTTTGGCTGAGATTGGCGACTCGGTGGCGGGAGTCTTGCAGTAAACCACCTCGCGTTTTGTGAATGGGTGACGGCTTCTGGTATACGTCATTACCAGCTGGGACGAATTTTTGACTGCATATACACTTCTAGAGCTTACTGTCAAAAAAAGAAGGAACCCAGCTTTTATAGACGTACCTCGGTAGTACCTCGTCACATTCGCAATGCCCTGGCCATGTGCTTGGAAGTCTAAACGTTCAACGCTGTTCAATCAATTGAATTCCTGGACGAAGACATACTTCTTGCTCAACCTCAAGGCCCTCAGCCAGCAGCTACACTGAGTAGGCCTGTTGTAGATAATTAGCGGTGGTGAGGCTCGACATCATAGGTATCATTTCGTCGGCCATCCTAGGTTTTGGGTAAAACTTAATCTAAAAGCGATTTACATGAAAGCTCATTGAAGAAACACCAGTAGGAAACGACACACACGGACACGGAAAACTGATTGGTTGTAAACTCGGACTCCTTAAGAGCGGTCCCTGCCCTCGGTTTTTGGGCTACATAAGATTTTCCGGTTTTTCTCACCTCTTTCCACGCAAATCAAAGCTGAGCCTTTCAAACCTCGTCAGGAATGCTGGAAATTTGTTCAACGACGAGCGGAGTATGGAGAACGAGGCACGGGTGGTTGTGACTGTTGGTGGCAAGAGACACAATCATCATCACGCTGGTTGAACTCGACCACAACAATTACTCGCCAAACTCACTGCCAGCTCAATCACAATGCTCTTAAAGGTGATTTTGTTGTTTAATGCAATCATTCGTGCTGACCTTGGCTTGTTCAGGTATTGGCAATTAGCATGTCGGTGAAGTTCTCTCAGGTGGACGAGCAATAGATGACGCTTCGCTAGCTCTCGCCCAAGTGCTGGCTTTCGCCGGTGATGTCAAGGTGTGAGATTCAGAAATCGAAGTTCACCATCCTTTGGAGATTCAACACAACTTTATGTAGATTCATTCAGTGGTCCCGACACTGAGCGCCTTATCCACCGTCTTTCTGATCCGGCTGGCAGGGAGGCTAGGTCATGGCACTTAACATGTTCGTTATCACACATTCTGAGCGCTAATCTCTCCGATTTCACTGATGACCACCATGTCTTCCTCCAGGAGTGGGTGCCCTTTTCCGAGAGTCACGACCATTATCCTTCAAGCGCATACCGATGAGGTGTGGAATATTGAATGGAGCCACGACGGCCTTTACCTGGCGAGTGCCAGTAGAGACAAGAGTGCTATCATTTGGCGTACAGGGGTACGCATTATCTATTTGTCAATTTTTATCAGCAAGTGAACTGACACCTGCTCGAAGTCTTCTGCTCCTCATGAGGCTGACCCGCACCAGGATTGGACCCCACACTTTGTTTTGCGTGATCATCCCTACCCAGTGACCTGCTTAGCCTGGTCGAAGGACGACTCTGTGCTTCTCACCAGTGCTTACAACTACATCAAACTGTGGAACACCAAGGTGACCGTTACGAGTGAATTTGTTTGATTAATCTCACATCAGACTCCCAAGACTGGCGTATGCATAAACACGCTTGATGAACACACTGATACGGTGACAGGGCTTTCGTGGTTGCCAGACGGATCAGGATTCATATCAGGGGATCTCGATGGTAAAATTATATACTGGGTACGAGGAACGACATTCTTCTCCCCGTCACTTTCTCGAACGTCTTTTGACGTTACGGACATTGGTCACTTACGCATTTGTTTCAATGTTTAGGAGGCAGACGGTAAACCACGTGATGCATGGGACGCAACGGCCATACGGATAATTGACCTGGCGGTGACACCCGATTGTACACGTTTGGTGACTGTCGGAATGGAGATCCAACCTGGCCTGCCCTCGAATGTCGAAGTTACTCAGTCAAGGGGAGGGCCGGCTGGTGATGCACCCACCCCCTCTGGCGGTAATCCTCCATTGCCCGTAGGATCGAAGTATGCACACGGGATGATCGTTTTTGATTTGCCGACGAAGCAAACGGAATTGTATGTATTGTTATTCACGCTTCGTTGTCTAAAATCAGACTCATTACCAGCCTTCTCTGAAAAGGTCGATCCGCTTAGAAGGCGAACTCACGAGTGTCAAAATTTCCCAGGATTCACAGTATGCTCTCATCAACCACTCGCCAGATGTGAAGTACTTTGAATTTGTAGCGTAATATTCATCTAATCTCCACCTATCTGTCTTATAGGAAATTCATCTCTGGGATCTGAACGCGGGAAGAGTGGCACACAAGTATACTGGGCAACGACAGGGGCGTCATGTTATCCGCAGTTGCTTCGGCGGCATCGACGGAAACTTCGTAGTTAGCGGAAGTGAGGGCACGTTAATTTAATCAGTCTCATCTCCACGGAAAATTTCATTGATGTTGCAAACAGATGGCAACGTGTATGTATGGCACCGCGATACTGGCGCTCTACTGGAAGTTCTCTCGGGTCACGGCGAAGGAAGTGTTAACTCTGTTGCTTGGAATCCTCGTAACGAACGCATGTTTGCGTCATGCTCGGACGACAACACAATCCGGATATGGGGGGCACCTCCGCCGGAAATGTCGATCGACTCAATTTTGCACAATCCGAGCCGCACGCCCCCTTTCCCTGGTGAAGGGAAAGGAAAGACGCAGCAGCGCTGGGATGAAGATGAGGTGGATTCTGTTTCAGGTTCTAACGCCACGCGAAAATGAGCCCACTTTTTTCTTCAAAGGTTTCAATCGACGACGAAAGGCCGTCTGGTCTCCCTCCTTGCATACACATACATCATCGCTTGAACGCTCCAACATACGTATAATCGCATCTTATCCAACACCTCGTCATCACGGCTGTATTTGCGTAGTTACAACACAACAATCGACGTGGACCTCTTCGTCAACGCACACAGAATGATAGAAAGCTTTGGTTTTTTTCCTAGCCCTCCCGCCCAAGTACGCGAAAGGTAGCTGACTTTGTTGCTTTACATAAATCATCCAAACTATTAATCTGAATCTTACCCTACTGCACCCTTTTCCTTCCCTTCCCCCTCCCTTTGCCCCTTGCAAAATTCACATACCTCCATTCATAAACAACTCTCAGCATCCATTCGTACACAGCGCTGAATAGATCAATTTCATGGGCCCAGTCGAACTTCCTTTCGGTGTTGGTATCGTCTACGCTGGCAAGGTTTCCATCTCCGCACCACCCTCGTCGAGATTGCGGTGAGGTTTCAACCGCCTCTGCATCGTGCAGCTGTTTGAGGAGGTTCTCTGTGAAGGCTCTGCACGCAGGTGCCAGGAATGGTGGTGAGGTCGAAACGGTGTTAGGATCTGAAGGGGCGAGGGAGAACGAAGGAGGGTAGAAGCCACACGATTATGGTGGGTTTGAGTGGGGTTCTTCGAGGACGGGCAGCATGTCCTCCTGGATGGGATCAACACACACATGAGAAATCGGCAGTCGTTCCGAAGTGGACCTGGCTTGGGTTGATGAGTTGGTGGGGCAGTAGAAGGGACAGTGTGTTTCCGGAGTGGAGGCCTGGAGGGTAGGCCGTGCGCGGGACTTGAACATCACATTCATCTGCGGCTGTTCTTGTTGAAAGTCAAGATCGTTTACTGTCTTTATTTGTAAAATCGTCATTCAGAAATCCTTGGTTAGAATGGCACCAACCTTCCACATCTTCTCTCGATAGGTACGACTGAGTCGCCCATTCGTCAACGTTTCTTGGAAACTCGCCGACGGCAGGCGGGAACCAGCGCTCGGTAAACTTCCCCATCACATATCGATAGCTGACCACCAGTCCGAGGCATCTCCCCTCCCTGAGTACCCTCCTTTCCCTACGCCAATCCGCATCAATCCACATCCTCACAGTTCCCAGCGTCCGATCGCAAAAGCGCCTGGAGGATACTCGGAAACTTGCTCGGCTGCCAGGCAACAATCGACCCCCCTCCGCTGGGAAGTCGTCATAGTCGGGAAAGATACGAATGATTGGTGTTAGGATCCGCAAAACAACGGTTTGAGCGGTCGCGTGCTCGATTAGGGTGGATACTTTGAGATGAGTAAGAACGTGTCCTGACGTTGTCGAGTTAGCCCTTGGACAGCTAATGAAATGAGTTGTCGTATCTAGAGAGACTTGACTCAGCAAGCCCCTCAGATGTGAGATGCCGTCAAATGTGACTTTCGAGTACTTGGTCGGGAGGCAGTAGAAGTTGGCCTGAGGGAGTGTGGGATAAGATGGCTCTGCAACCGATTTTGTCCGACATTGGTACTCTTGGCCAGGGCGGGGGGAATGCACATGCGGCGAACTGGCGGTGTGGACATCGCAGAAGCTGACTTTGGCTGAGATTGGCGACTCGGTGGCGGGAGTCTTGCTGTAAACCACCTCAAGTTTTGTGAATGGGTGACGGCTTCTGGTATACACGTCATTACCAGCTGGGACGAATTTTTGACTGCATATACACTTCTAGAGCTTACTGTCAAAAAAAGAAGGAGCCCAGCTTTTATACACATACCTCGTCACGTTCGCAATGCCTTGGCCATGTGCATAGAAGTTCAAACTTTCAACGTTGTTCAACTCCACCAAGCCGCCCGTTTTGTTCAGCTTCAACTGCTCCATGTATCCGTCTTGTCCGGGGATAGTTTTAACATGCGTGGTCGTTTGCAAGTAATGGAACTGTTTGTCCAATTATCAGTTTGAAAGGCCAGTCACAAGAACACGGAACTGACACGCCTGAATAACCAGAAGCGAATGTAGAAGCCGTGGATCGCAGCAGCAGCATGGCCAAACGTGTCAATCGCGCCAGGCAAGCCAACGCCAGTGGCAGATCCACCACTTTTGCGAAAAGTATGTGTCTCCGACGCTTGTGCGCGATCGTGGTCGTGGGGCCGGCAAGGAGCTATAGCCATTGGGAAAGCTCAACTGCTTCATTATCAGAGGCAACGTCACTGAAGCTTGAGTGACGGCGACTGGACTAGAAAATCAACGCGAGGGGGAGGCCCGGGTGAGGAGAGGAAAGATGTATGGGCAATGGCTGTAGGCTGGCCGTAGGTTCAATGAGACGATTAGGCGTGTGTATTTCGTACCGACTTTTTTTCCCTTTACGCTTTCATATGCCTCCCGGACTGCAAACCCAACACAAGTTTTTATTCTTGAATCTTGTGTAGCTTTCGCGTTGTTCTCCTCGATGAGGAATGGGCCGCTGTCCATGCTTGCATCTTTGAGTACTCTGGGCATTAAACGGGCCGTGTACTACGGTAAGCTTCGTGTTGTTCCATTTATCTGACTATTCAACTTTGGCCGAAACAGCGGGTAGCAACAACCCAGCGATTCCATCGTCTGTGATCTAAGGAACTGAATATGCTCGGAGCTTCGAACTCGTGGAGATCTCGATGGTGCAGCGTCCAAAGTGAGTTTCCGCTCCTCACACTTTGGATGGAAGTCGACTCATTTGCCGATCTAGGACCCGCCTTCACTAGGCCTTCACCATCGTGTTGAACAACTACCTGGCGCACAAATCACTCCGGACAAGACGTATCTCTACTCTCTAGTACGTGTTGCCGGTGAGTTCTTCTCAATCTTTCTACCTCGTACGAAGTTGATCATTCTAGCTATAAAGAGAATTTGACCCACCACCTCAACGACTCACACACTCCCTGATCATCAGTCGCGACGAATTTTCACCCCAGAAGGGATGTACAACTCGATGCCCATGCGCTCTCTTTGAAGTTTCACCAAAATAACTCGTGCACCTCATCACCGACGACCGTCATGGAGACTGCCTTTACGGGCAGGACATTGTCGTTTCCAGTCGAGGTGGGTGTGTTACATGTGTTCTCAGGTGTCTGAACTCTCCAAGATTACGACGACGGTCACGACACCGTTCAACACGCTGAGATGGTAAGCGCTCATCCACGGAGTTCTTCATATCTGATTTATCAATCAGTTACCTTTCGATCTACCAGAAAAGCGCTCTCTCGGATCGACCCAATTCCACTAAATCATTTCGGGCACAGGCAAAGCTTGTCAAAATTCACAAGGATACTATGCGGTGTGCATTTTTGACTTTGCTTACGAGAACAACGCACAAGATCACCGAAAGGACTATGACGCTAGCTTTGAATTCGACTCCTATTAATCGACAACGTTGGTCAGATCTCTAGACTGCTTATTGCAGCACCACCATGCATTGTGGCCGTTTTTTTTAACGAGTTTTGGGCGTTCGGAAATCGCATAGGAAGCGGGCATTAGCTATCTAAAGATTCAGCGTTCAGCGTCACATGACCTAGGCTGCCCACAATGCTCTCTTCGCTGTTCAAGCAGGAATACCCAACCGACTCAAACGCTGGCTTCCAATGCCTACACTCGGAAGTGGATGCTGCTTAGCGCGAGGCCGAAAGCCTTGGTTAGGGAAGTTCATAGTTTTCACTTCCCCGTGGGCTCGTCGACGTCGGATCGCAACCTGGACAAATTAGAGAAATACGCAGGAGGCCAACAGGAGGCGAAGTTGGACAGGAACGATTCCAACAAGGAAAGCAGGAATGGATCAACATCCTTTGGCTTGACGGGTACACCACACAACAGAACCTACCAACCTCAATGTTTCTTTGTTATCCTTCGCAAGCTGCGGGGTGTAGAGGGTGACTTTAAACGTTGATCGTGAATGCAGTAAACATGTCTCAGACAATCCCACCCTATATAATCAGTTCAAACTTCACCTCCCAATCTCAACGCCATTGCCCACTTGTCCCAAGATGGGTGATCCGAGCTATCTCCGCCTTGTACCCTCTTCTTCTGCCACCATTCCCATCGACTGGACTAAAGTCCCTGAAGCATCCAAAAAATTCCTCCTCGAAGGCTGGGGTACCGACTATTCCGGGACAGAGACAGATACCGAGTCTGACTCAGACTCCGAGCGAATCAAAAGACGCCCACTCCCCGGGACCATCAGCGACCTTGCGAAGATGTTTGACGAATCCAAATTTTTTGGCTACATGACACCTGAACTTTGCACACTCCTTCTCGACATCAGCGAGTTTGGGCTCGTCAAACCCCGCCTTACTGAAACTGTAGGTCTTCCAGTAGGCCCGCACTTCTACATGAAGTATTTGTCCGAAATTTGGTTCGTCCTTTTCGTGCCAGGGCAAAGGGATGGGATCACCGGCTACAGCCCGGAAATACCAGACACTGGCAGGATCAAATTGCATTTCTTGTGTTTATTCATGCGCCCCTTTGCCAAATCACATCCTCAAATCTCCTTTACTCCATCGACAGCCCTCAGTGATTCATCGTACACGTCGATTTGTCTGCCTGGGATTCGATATAACCTTCCTGCGTATGGCGGGCGCTTGTACTCCAATATACTAACAAAAACACCAGCTCAAAGGAAATTGAGTTCCTGTTTTGACCCGAGAGTCGGTGGCATGAATAAGGGTGGCTAAAAGGGACCACAAGGACAGGACAGCACATGGCATGCCTTTGTTTGGGAGTCGAACCCGGCTGTCCTGACCAACGATACAACAAGCGTATTGTAGTCGCCAGTCTACTAACAAAGACATTAAAGGGCTGTGTCTGGCGGATTGTGAGCTTGGATTCGAAGGTCCGGCGCTTGGTAAATTGGAAACTGTTTTCATCTACATAAAGGTGGCGTTGATTTCTGCAAGCGTAAATGTACATCCAATCTTGAGAATTTCCGCACTAAGAACTGTGATTATGCATGATAACCAGGACGTGAACTTGACAGCGCAATTGCAAGAACGTTCAGATTTTTGGTACGATAGGGGCGAGCGTCCATACTTTCTTCCGAGGTTGGTATCGTCTAAGCTGGCATGGTCTTGCATCTCCCCTAGCAGAATCACCATCTATTATGCCACCCCGAACACCATCCACACCCACACCATCCGTACTAATGCCCAAACCCACCCAACACTTCGTCACCAGCAGCTCGTGCACGGATGTCTCGTATGTGTGTAGGCAGTGGGCTCGCGTGAAAGTGATCGTGGTATGTAGATGAGGAAGGAGTTAAATTGGATGAAGCAGAATCTGAAGTTGAACTCGACAGAGTGGAGTCGAAGACGAACTCGACAAAGCCAAAGTCAACACCGCCGGTAACAGAAGTGGAAGGCACCTCAAGGATGAAGTTGTCGTCGAAGAATCCAAGGAGGGAAAAACACGTGTGGCATACGCTGCACCCGTCAAATGGCCGAACATGCTCAATGATGTTGCAATGATGTAGTATTCACCTGGACTGTAACAAAACATCAGGAGAAGTTAACCTGGGGTTTGTACTCACCCATTCTCTCCCTCGCCGATTGCTTAATGGTCTGAATTAGGTCGTTACAAAGCCGCGCAGCGCTGTGCTTCGTGTTCGTCCTGGACAAATTGGGCTTGAAATTTTGAAACCCTATCACAGCTCAGTTGGGGGGTCTTTGAAATGTCCATATGACATTTGAGTCGAGGGGAATAACGTTACATGAAGGGGAGAACGACAGTCAAGCAACAGTTTGGCAACAGTCAAGTGAAGTTCTTCAAATATATGACGTCACTCCTTTAGATAGTAACCAAACAATACGCAACTCATCGCGCTTCTTTTGCTTCTTCACTTTCACCACCTCAGGCATCATCCCAGCGGAAAATGGCTCCTTCCAATACCGAGTTCCAAGGAGCAGAGGATATAGAAAGACAACGGAGACGCGCACAAAATCTTCGAAGGGTCGCCAAGCGTTTTCGCGTCCTTATCATTGGCCGCGCCAATGCGGGGAAGACAACCATCCTCCAGCGAGTTTGCAAAACAACAGAACAGCCAAAAATTTTCAATCGGGAGGGCCATGAGGTATGGTAGTCCACATTCTAGACATCATCATCTTGCATTATTGATGTGGATAGATTGACTTGTCCAATCTCAATCCAACGACACAGGTAATGTGGATCTACAGTTCCTATTACTTGTTACTGAAGTGTGGCAGAGAGCGGGGCATGACATTGAGAATGAAATGATATTCAAGAGTAACACATCATTTGTCTTTCATGACTCATGTGGCTTCGAAGCAGGTAGAACATCTGAGCTGGATAAAGTCAAGGATTTTGTGCGGAAATGTTCAACCAAAAAGAACCTCATGGATCACCTTCATGTGATTTGGTAAGTGACTGAGTGCTAACATTGAAGTGCATCTGAATACATCCTGCATAGGTACTGCATTCCCATCAATGATGAAGTCAGACCAATTACAAGGGCAGAGTTAAATTTCTTTGATGAGTGTGGGACTGGTAGAGGTGTGTACACTATTGATATTCTCATGAATCTAACCTTTTTTTCTGTATCCAGTTCCTGTTATAGTCTTGTTCACAAAAGCAGATTTGCTGGATGCTCAAACCATGGAACATCTGGTTAATGCTGGGATGGATTTTGAAGATGCTACAATTCATGCTCCAGAAGAATCAATTGACAGGTTTCAAAAGAAATTTGGTCAGCAACTCTATAAGAAAAAATATCCTCCCAAGGGACATGTGTATTTTCGAGGTGTTATGAATTCTTTCGTTTGTAGACAACAGATTAATTGCCTTTAGCAGATATGCAACATCCTACAAGTAACTGCAGTGAACTTCTGAAAGAGACAGCAGCTACCCTTTCAGATGACATGATCTTACAGCTGTTCCTTACAGTGCAGAAGAATAATCTGTGTCTGTCAATTGAATATGCAATCATGCTGGGGTAGTGCCTTTACATTATTATATATGAAGCTAAATTGCTGATCACACTTGGTGGTAGAGTTACATTTCCAGGTTGGAAATTGGTCAAAAGAAAGAGAAAGTGGAGGGAGATGGTTGAGGCTATATTGTGTTATTTTCCACACATGGTATGTGAAACCTGCTTGACTATTGAGCTGTAGAATGAAATATTATATTTGAACAGAGAGTAAGCCAATGTCCAGCTGGTCTCCACTATGTGTTAATTTGGATTGTCCTTTGATCATAAACAGAACGTAAGTTAATATTTTGCTTGAACTCATCATTCCAGTGATGCTGATGGGGGCACACTCTCAAACTCAATAAATAGTTTGTAAGCTTGGAGGCAAATAGCCTTTCCCTGCCTGTCACTGACAAGAACTTGCTCTGGGGTTTCAACAGCATGTAAGTTAGCATCTGGCTTTCCTAATTCTTGCTGACAGAAGCTTTTGAACAGGAAGTAAGTCAGCATCTAGCTGGCCTTTTCTTGTTGCTGACAAAAACATGCACTGGGTTTCAAATAGTATGTAAGTCAGCATGTATGGGTGGCTCTTCCTGCTTGCCTCTGACAGAAGCATGTTGTGGGTTTTGAACAGGATGTAAGTCAGCATCTGAGTAGCCCAGTTTGCTTGTTGCTGACAAGAACATGCTCTGGGTTTGTGCAGGGTGTAAGTCAGCATCTGGGTGACCCTTCTTCCTTAGTGCTGACAGGAGTGCATTGGGTTTTGACCAGGATGTAAGTCAGCATCTAGCTGGCCCTTCCTGCTTCAAGTTGTTGCTGACAGAAGCATGCTCTTGGTTTTGCCATTGGACAGGATGCAAGTCATCTGGCTAGTCCTTTCTGCTTGTTGCTGACAAAAGCATGCTCTGGGTTTTGAATAGGATGTAAGTAGACATCTGGCTAGTCTTTTTTGCTTATTTCTGACAAGAGTGTGCTATGGGTTTTCAACAGGGTGTAAGTCAGCATCTGACTAGCTTTCTGCTTTCTGCTGACAGGAGTATGTTCTGGGTTTTGAACAGTATGTGAGTAAGCATCTGGCTGACCCTTTCTACTTGTTGCTAACAGGAACATGCTTTGGGTTTTGAACAGCATGTAAGTTAGCATCTGGCTGACCCTTTCTGCTTGTTGCTGACAGGTGGATGCTCCGGGTTTTGAACAGGGTGTAAGTCAGCATCTGGCTGGCCCTTTCTAAATTTCGCTTGTTGCTGACAAGAGCATGCTTGGGTTTTGAACAGTATGTAAGTCAGCATTTGGCTGGCCATTTCTGCTTGTTGCTGACAGAAGCATGTTCTGGATTTTGAACAGGTTGTAAGTCAGCATCAGGCTGGCCCTTCCTGTTTGTTCCTGACAGAAAAATGCTCTGAATTTTGACAGATTGTAAGTCAGCATCAGGCTGACCCTTCCTGCTTATTGTTAATTAGACCATGCTCTGGGTTTTGAACAGGATGTAAGCCAGCATCTGCCTGGCTCTCTATGCTTGTTGCTGACAAAAGCATGGTTTGGGTTTTAAACAGGAAGTAAGTCAGCATCTGCCTGGCCCTTCCAATTTCTTGCTGACAGGAGCATGCTCTGGGTTTTGAACAGGAAGTAAGTCATCTGGGTGGCCCTTCATGCTTGGTACTGACAAGAGCATGTTCTGGGTTCTTAACAGGACGTAAGTCAGCATTTGGTTGGCCTTTCCTGCTTGTTCCTGACAGAAGCATGCTCTGGGTTTTTCACAGTATGTAAGTTAGCATCTGGCTGGCTCTTCCTGCTTGTTACTGATAAAAGCATGCCTTGGTTTTTGAACAGGTTGTAAGTCAGCATCTGACTGGCCCTTTCTTCTTCTTGTTGACAAGAGCATGCTTTGGGTTTTGACCAGGATGTAAGTAGGCATCTGGCTGGCCTGGCCTGCCTTTTCTGACAAGAGCATGCTCTGGGTTTCAAACAGCATGTATGTCAGCATCTGGCTAGCTGTTCCTGCTTGTTGCTGACAAGAGAATGCTCTGGCTTTAAACAGCATGTCAGTTATCTTGCTGGCCCTTGATGGTTGTTGCTAACAAGAGCATGTACTGGGTTTTGAACAGGATGTAAGTCAGCATCTGGCTGGCCTTTCCTGCTTGTTTCTGACAAGAGGATGCACTGTGTTTTAAACAGATTGTAAGTCAGGACTCAGCAGCTGGCTAGCTCTTCCTGCTCATTGCTAATTGAAGTTTGTGAGCAGGTTGTAAGTCAGCAACAGCTAGCCCTTCCTGCTTGTCACTGATATGAGAATGCACTGGGCTTTGAACAGCATGTAAGTCAGCATCTGGGTGGCCTTTTCTGCTTGTTGCTGACAAGAGCATACTGTAATTTTTTAACAGTATGTAAGTCAGCATTCAGAAAGCCTCCTCTGCTTGTTTCTGACAAGAGCATTCTCTGGGTTTTGAACAGGATGTAAGTCAGCATTTTGCTTGCCCTTCCTGCTTGTTTCTGACAAGTAAATGCTCTGGGCTTTGAATAGTATGCAAGTCTTCATCTTATTGGCTTTTCCTGCTTGTTGCTAACAAAAGCATGCACTGGGTTTTGAACAGTATGTGAGTCAGCATCTGGCAAACCTTCCCAACTTTCTGCTGATAAAAGCATGCTCTGGGTATCAAACAGGATGTCAGTCAGCATCCAGCAAGCCTTCGCTACTAGTTGCTAACAAGAATGTGCTCTGGGTTGTGAACAGGATGTAAGTCAACATGTGGCTGTCTCTTTCTGCTTGATGTTGACAGAGCATGGTCTGGGTTTTGAATAGGTTGTAAGTCACCATCTGGCTGGTCTTCTCTGTTTTTTGCTGACAGAAGCTTACTTTTGGTTTTCAACAGGAAGTAAGTCAGCATCTGGCTAGTCTTCTTTGGTTGTTGCTGACAGTAGTATGCTTTGTATTTTAAATAGCAAGTAAGTCTCAACTTTTTGCACCTTTCATTTTGCTAAGAATGGTGAGATTGTGAGTTCAGTCACAGCATTTTTAGCAAAACTTTTATTATGCCATACTTCTTTATATAGTCTGTAAGTAAATTCATTTTTTCTTCCAATTCTTCTTCCAAAATAGCAATTCATTTACATTAACTAAATCAATCAATATTTCTAGGTGGAGGATGCCCTCAATTATATAGACTGGCCTTTTGTAAGTCTTCATTGTGCAAATGCTATTCAGTATTATGACCACAACATAATCCTACATAGATCAGCAACACCCAAACTTTCAAGGACATAGCCTTTCTATGTATCAGTATGTATAATCTCATTTCTGACCACTTCATGATAACCACTACTTTACTGCTCAGCTACAGCTATCATTGCAGAGCACTCATATTTTCTGTGGAAAAAGAAGCCTTCAGGATCTTCCACCCCCTTTGAATTAGCCATTCAGAAGCTCAACTCATCCACCGACTTGGAAAAAATCAAAACAGCCATTGAGGAAGCATCCCATCTTAAAAGCAAGGATAAAAAACATGCACTTGTCAAGATTGCTTTGGAAAACTGTCTTTGTAAGTTTTTCAACCTCAACATCTTCCAAAGCCTTTCTCTCATTTATTTGGTATAGCTTTATAAAATTTCCATCTTTCCAGAATTTCATACCTGTATTACATCTCTCTACTTACCTTTATGAATCATTTTTGTCCATTGTTCTCAAAAAATAAAAATAAAAATAAAAATAAAAGAGGAGTATTATTTAAAAGAAAATAAAGTCAAGGACACTATCCTTTGTTGTTTTCAACCTTCCACAGGTGCCCTGAAGTTGCCTTTGTAGTCCAAGCAAAACCATTTTCTATCTGGAACCTGTCAATGAGGGAAAGAGAGGGTACCTTTGAACCTGCCATTCAACCTATGACTGCAAATTTGATTGTAGAGCCCTCACACCTTAAACAAGAGATGGGGCTGTTAGGCAAAGTGTTTGTCATTTGATGGATTCTATGACAAATGAATCATTTTTGTACCTTGTATGTGATTAGAACAGACCTATAGGACAATTTGTGCAAAGGGGATGTACAAATGTAAAGAAAAAGTTGTTATTACTATTTTTAAGAAAAATGAGTCTCAAGGTACCCCCACAGGACAAAATGGTGTTAAGAATCAAAGTTTGCGAAGGGAACAGATTTCTGATTCATTTGTCAAGGAATCTTTCACTTAGGTGTCCGATTGTCCCTTATTCACACTTGAGACAGGGTCCAATGTTTGATCTAGGCAAAGGTACCTCCATAATTGTTGACACTCCTAGAATAATAAAGCTGTTGTGTATGCCAAAAACGTTGATTAACAAAATTTTAAACTGTTGAACAATAAGAACATCAGCCATATTGACAGACCAATTCCATTATTTTATTCTTTAACATATTCTTCAGCTGAGTGGTGTTGCCATGGCTACCAAGACTATTTCTCAAAGACATTGTTTAAATATGCAAATTAAATGTGGTTGAAGTTCTTATTGTTCTTCATTTTCTAATTTTGAGAATTAATGTTTTCGGAATGCACATTCACTTCATTATTTTGCAAGTGGCCACAATTAAGGAGGTACATTTGTCCTGATTATTTATTAGGCCCTGCCTCAAGTGTCAAGGTGTCAATATAAGTAATCATGTTTACCACAGAAAAAACGATACGTGAGAGGACTACAAGTACATGAGCGCTAGCTTTCGATTTGTTGAAATGGATTTGTAGCTTACAGGCAACAAAAAGTTACGACGTAAGGAGACGCTGGATGAAAGAAAAGTGAAGAAGGCAAACAGTGACCTCAAGCAACACGGTATCGGACAATGACTGGCGCTCTCACTACCAAACAGGGCGAAGGTTCTCGCCAACATAATGCTCGATCGTCTTCAGCCTAACTCTCTGCTGTTCCAGTGCATCTTCAGGAACAGCACATATCGCCTCCCTCACTCTAAGCCTCAACTCCCGATACAAATACTTGGGCCTCAACGGCCTCGGACTAGGCACAAGACTCCCATCAGCCGCAGTAGTCAACGCGTAATAGTTGAAGCACGGAGCAGCGACATTCTCACCCCCCAACTTCTGCTGAACAAGGATTTCGGCGAGGGGTGTGAGTAGGTTACTCATTATGCCGTGGATATTTCGGAAGAGGACGGGGTGGAGCGCTTTTTCGAGGGGGTGCCAGACCCGCTGGATGGTTTGTAGTAGGTAGCAATAGGCTGCGTCGAAGGCGAGGGAAAGCTAGGTGTGCGTGAGCAGAGGGTGATGAGAGAAAGGTAAGTTCTCTTACCCTGTAAACGTAGTTATTCCGATATATATTCCAATAATCCACAGTCTTCGGGTTGTCCGGGACTTGATGTACATCCCACACCTGCGGCCTCGAATAAAGCTTGGAAAAGACGTCATAGTGGGAATCGTCAACCCTAAGATTTCCCTCCCCTTGCTCGATGATCGTCCTCAGTGCCCGGAGAGCAGTGGATTGATTGTTGATAGCGAATAGGTGATCGCCAAAAAACCTATTACCGCAGAACTGTGCTCCCGGGTTCTTTGTAAAGTTCTCGTCGGGAAGACCTCTGACGCCTGCGAGGAAAAGGTGGTTTAGCGAGAAATGTAGAGGATGATAATAAGTGCTAGTGACCTGTGATCAGATCCTCGTAGAGTTCGCCAATGCTGGTGTACTGCGAAGCAAGGACATCACGCTCGGTCATGGGCGACAATACACCACCGTCAGCCGCGGACTCGATCTGGTGCAATTTATGATAAAGATGATGTGAGGTTAAAGCTAAAATCCAAGACACGTACTTCCATAAAGCGGCCTAAACTCTCAGTCTTGAGCGCCTCCAAGATCATCGGGATCTTGCCATATAACATGCGGCCAGGGTATTGAGGCACGACGCGAGGATCGTACAGTTCCACAGAACCTCCAAGTGCAGAGAGAAGATTGCCAGCCAAGGAGAGATGGAGCATTTCCTGCTCTACAACGCCTGCAAAAAAATCCGTCAGCGGAGCTTAATAGAATGGGTTTGGGGGGATCTGCCTGACTTCTGAGAGTAGCACGGACTTGCAACGCGACAGCTTGGTTGGTTGGCTTGATGCTATACATGGCGTAGAGATAAAGGGGGATGGTGCTCAGTTCGATCATCACGCCGGCGTGAACGCGTTTGATCATGGCACCATAATCCCAATGCCGGGGTGGACCTTGGGGTAGCTGGAGTGGTGGGATTTGTGGGGCTCCACCTCCACCTCCGCCTCCGCCGTTGCCTCCTGCGCCTCCACCTCCACCGCTGACTCCTCCACCTCCGCCTATTTTGTCTTTTTGCTTTCCACCTCCATATCTGCGTGCGGCTTCGCCGGCGCGTTTAAGGTCTGCGAAAGTGACCATGCGTTTGTAGGCTGCAGCTTGAACATCGGGTTTGAGGGCTGCAGCTAAAATGGCGCGTTTAATAGCTGTCAATCGGGCCTCGGGTTCTAGGGCTGTGAATTGGGCCGCGGGTTCGAGGGCTGCACGTTCAACGGCGCCTTGGAGGGCTGCAGATAAGACCGCAGGTTCGAGGGCTTCGATTTGGACGGATGGTTCGAGGGCAGCAAATTGGACAGCGCTTTGGAGGGCTGCAATTTGGATGGCGGGTTCGAGGGCTGCGGCTTGGACGGCATGTTCGAGGGCTGCAGCTTGAACGGCGCGTTCGAGGGTTGCAGGTAGAACGGTGGGTTCGACGTTTTCGTCTGGGACATCACAGAACCCTTCGTCTTCACCTGGGACATCGTAGTCTTGGTCTGGGATGTACACTGGGGCTGAGGTTGCGACGATGGCTGACGCCCCTCGCCCCTGAACGGGGGATAGCGAGTCGTAGTCCATGGGGGGTGCACGATTGGAATGCGGTGAAACGTATTATCTTGAGTTACTTATCTGTGTGCTCGGTTAATATGTATCAAGTTGAGAACGAACCACTGTTCAATCATACTTACCTCCGAATAGAAATCTCCACATTTAATCTGTCCCCTTTCTATCCCACACTCATGAAGCATGGCGGATGGTGGTTGTAGTTCGAATCAGAGATACCGACGGCTTGTAGTGGTCGATGACAAGAACTGGTCATGGGGTCTTCCGAGTTTGGTCAAGCCTGTTTGCACATAAACACAGTGGCTGAACACTGTGCTTGCACTGGGCCATTATCCAACATTATCCCTGTCTACCTATCAACTGTCTATCGCGTCTTTTCATATCGATATACCCGTTTTGAAAACATAACGCTCAGCGCTTTGTTTAGTTGTGGAGCACGTCCGACGGTGATGCATTTGAACCCTCTCCATAATTCTCTTTTGCACTTCGTGAATCATTCCCTCACCTGAAAATTTGACAAGGAATGGCCTCTCTGTATCCTACAGGCCCGCGCAGGTCAGCTCTGAATGTTCTGCAAGTCTTGTTCGTCGGCCACCTTGACATGCCGAAGTGTCATATTTTCAAAAGGGGACCCAGGTCTAACGATATGTTAACTGTAACCTGCTTTCGGGATAAGTGTCCCGAGGTGGCGTCACTTATCTGTCTCCTGTGTCCATGTAAGTACTTTCCCCATTAATCATACACTTCACTGACCTGTCGACGGCACCAAAAGCAAGTTATATGTCTTTACTTCCGCGCCTCCCCCACTGGCAGTTCTCTCGCTTTAACTACCATGCCTCGTCTTCATATTCTCAGCGACCCGAGCACAGCTGCTCACTACCCACCAGTTGACCACAACAAGATCGTCCGCCTGGAGATCTTCCCTCCCATTGGTATAGCACGTGTCGGCGACTCTGAAATCGAATGTTTCCTCGCCCCGGAGGTGCCTGGTCGCACCTACCCTCCCAACGGCCTACGCATGCGGCCGAATGGCCAGGTGAGTTTCTCTGTTGTTCGCTCGACCCTAACATAAGTACCCAGTGACACTTACGATCCCCAGGAGTTCAAGTTTCGAGATGCTCACCAGAGGCTCAGACGCCAGGCTGTCCGCTTTCGCGTCTATGCGTACGATGCCCATGACAAGCTCCTCGGCGAAGTTAACAGCGAAAACGGGTACATCTTGAACTGGACCGTGCAAGTCGCGAACAAAAAGGCGGCAAACTATGTCCACCAACGCGGAGGTATTTGACTGCCTCGTCATCTTCACTCTCATCTCATACTCGTCCTCATAGGCCACTTTGATCCCCACGAAACCGCTTTACGAAACCCAAAAATCCAACCAGATGTGTGCACCACTTTCCTTCTCAAAAACGTAACACCTTAAATTTATTCCTCACCAGCTAAACCTCGAAGATCGTTCCCTCCTTATCGTTGCAGACGAGGGAGCCATAGCGTCAACAGACCCCCTGAACACCTTTGTCCTGCTCAACAAGGGTACCTTTCAAGGATCACGCGTGGAACTCGCACAGCTCCAGCGTGATACCCGCGGCCGTTTGGTCTTTGTCCCCGGTAAAGGAGAAGCCCGTTCTATCGTCAATCCTTCCAAGCCCCAGCCACCAATTATTTCTGCAATGGACAGCTCGAATTGGATTGACGAGATTTGCGACGGGCAGGTGAAGGTCGTGGTGACAAGGGCCGGGACTGATCACAAGTGATTACCTTTGCATCTCTTTGCTGTCGATGCTCTGATTCTTAAAGGGTTTTTATAGAGTCGGCGAGTTGGGGCGTCCAGCTACAGTCCTCAGCGCACCACCCAACTTTGCTTGGGGCATCAATGCACCTACTACATTGTATGATACGATCGAGAACATTTATCGCGAGGAGGAGCACCCGCTCGTTCCCAGACCTACTGTTCACAGCCTAGACTTCTGGAAGCACATATGGCCGATTTTACTTTCCGCTTCTTCATTGTCTTGGACCAACAACCAAGCTTTCCAGGGTCATGGTAGGTCACGAGTCCAATCCAATGCGAAAGGTTTACTGAAGAAAAAGAAATCAGGTGTATCCAGCAACGGACATTACAACTTCTGGCAGGTCCTCGAGTTATTTGTAGGTGACGCGGGGGACGACGTAGAATTAATGAACAAAAGGAAATATTTCAAGTCTCGAATCTTTGAAAAGCTCCGGAAACCACTGAACCGACACAATCCTGATCAACTCCAAGCAGACACAAGGTACATGCCACGCCTCTCTGGCGACGCTGGTAAGTCCTGCCCAGCCCCCCTCCGACGCGGTTCATGAAAAGAAAAAATGACGCCCACAACCGCGTTTAGGTGAACTGCCAGAGCCAGGTACTTTCACAAGCAACCTACAGCCCGATGCCCGGAAGTTCGCTGCACTCACGAAGCTCCAGCATGACCGTTTTCGGATATGGACAAATGACGATACTTTCCACCTCCCCGCCGATGGAGTCCTCCCCATTCCGCGAGAACGTCTCGAAGATGTCGACCTAAAAGACCAGACAGAGGAGCTTACGCGTGCGATACTGGAGACGGCCATTGGGGACCCGCTTTATCCTGGGATTGAAATGTATTGGATTGCGAAATTGAATACGACGGTGGGCGCCCTTTTATGTACGATTGACATTAACGATGATTGTTGGCGCAGTACGACACAAACCACGCCGTAAAGATCAATCCTCCCTTCAGAATTAACACAAACACAATATTACCTGGACATCTCACGCGAGGGCTCAGTCTACCCTGGCAATGCGACTTTGATTTATGCAAGACACACTGGTAAGTAGGATTTTTTTGTCTATCTAGGTGGTGTCAGCTCCGAGCTTCTCTAATCCCTCCACAAGGTGGCCCTCCGTTCGCCCAGACGATATCGTGCCAAAAGTAGTCTTCCACGCTACCGTCCAAGGGTCCAATAACAAAACGGACTTTGACACGGCTATAACGGCACGAACCAAGTGGACAAGAGGACTTCGCGATACGGGTGAGGCGTTGCTGGTTCTCATGCTCTCTACCTACTATCATCTCACAATTGCCAATGGCAGTCATCGTCACACCTACCCAGGAAGACTGGCCAGGAAGCGATGATATGGTCAGGTACTGGAAGTACCTTGGTGTCGTGAGGAAAACCCGGAATGCGTTCACAGATCGCCATGGTTGGCAGCATAGTGTATTCCTTGAAGATGAGCGGGTATGGATGTGAGGCCCCGTCGGACTTGTAGTGACGTACGTTTTTGTTTGTGCTGTATGATTTTGTGTCTGTACAATAACCCCAATGCAATGGCCCTGTTTAATTTTCTCGTTCCTAAATTGTTTCACTCGCCAACAGTCCATGAATCCACAATAAATTTCTATTGCTCTACAGACTTGGTGCGGGAGAAGCACAGAACGTTAGTGGGTCGATCGGGGAGATGGGGCACGGTTGGCTTCGAGTCTGCAAAGAGCATAAGTTGCCACTGCAACGGCCGCGGACGAGAGTGGCCTGGGGCTAAAGACAGACGGGGCATATGGACTGTCCGTTTGAATAGTCATCTACACCTGTCTTTTCGCCCAAAATCCCCCATTAAATCGTGCGAGACGATAGTATTGCTTCTTCTCCTTTTCATACTGTTGGGTAATGGCAGCGTAATAATCAAGAATACTAGATATTTCCTCAGATCCAGCACCTTCCGATTCCATTGAAATCCGTTTAGCCAGTTCTTCTCCAATGAAGCAACCTGCGTTCAATGCAGTGATCATGCCTTGCGAAGACAGAGGGTCAAACGCCATAGCTGCGTCTCCCACAGCACACCAGTGTTCCGTCTCATCGCAGGTCAGATCCAGAACTGATGAATTAGCCGACGTGGAACGGGGAAACTTCTGCCCGGGAAAGAAGTCGTGATGGTGTGTAGTGATGATCGACGAGATGTGTTGGGTGTGGTTGTGTAAAAGATCGAGGAACCCATCGGCTGTGCGTACCAACTTGGCAGATGGATCGTCGTCGTCGGTATGATAGACTACTACCCGTCTGTTGTGTGGGAGGGATGAGGTATACCACCAACCCGATTCGGTAGCCTCGATCAGCGTCCGACGGTCTCCGTCGTCTTCCGGGGAAACGAACAGGGAATAGAAGGCGAGGAGCTTGTCGGTTTTCAGTGTAGTTGCACCTAGCTTTGGGTGAAAGTTGGTCAAGAAAGTCGCTGTGGCGAAACTATGAGTAAAGAGATTACTGATACCTTTCGAGCCAGCGAAGCTTTCCTCCCAGTGGCATCGACCGCCCATTTGGAGTAATAACAATTTGTCGAGCCAGTGTCTAGGTGCTTCGTATGCACACACCATATGCCGTCGTGCTTCTCTATGGAGACGAATTGCTCCCTCACAATTCGGGACGGAAGACTATTGTGCTTGCTCTTGTCACATCCTTCCCTCACAGCCTGTCTTAGAGACTCGTCGAACAATGGGCGGTCAAGGTGCCAGCCTGAGCCATAAAGACGCGTAAGACTGTATTCTTCGTGGAGCTCCTGCGAGCTCCAAACAGACGCATTTCCTGAACAACGGGCATGGTCTCCTTGTGCGATGTCATGCGATAGGCTATCTGATAGGGTAGGAGACAGGTATGCGAGGGTCTGAAGGGCAATACCCGGCAGTGATTCGCCGATCTGTTGTAATATGTAGTTCAGACAACGAAAGTAGAAGAACTGCTGATAGTCACCTTGAATATGGCTGGATCGGCATCGTCGATTAACAACACGGAACGGGGCGAGTCGATTCGATGCAGGGCTAAAGCTGTAGCACAGCCAGCTGGTCCTCCTCCGACGATAATCACTGAAAAGACTTTGATAAAATACTCATTGAAGCGAGGAAGCGATGTTCTAACCGTCATATACTTGCTGAGTGGCCATACAACCGCCAGGGATAAAGACGGTCACCAAAGCTGGCGCAGCCTGAGCGCAGTGCCGAGTCACGCTCCAGGAGCTACCAGTCAGCGCTTCAGCTGCCACACAGCATCAGTTCGTGATGTTCGTGTTCACATTTGAATCAAGTTCGCATTCAGCTGAGAATGGAACACTGGGCCACCGGGGTCGCATTATTTCTGGCTGTTCGATGCGAATCGTTGGCTGATGCTAGTTCCAAGGGGTACGCAGAAAAAAATCCCCTTACATCCTTACTTACATGGAGGATTCTCCAAACCAAATAGTGATACACAACGCGAGAAGGCTAGCACCGCGCATCCCCGGTAGTCTCTTATACAGACCTTAGTATTACAAATGATAATCGATTTGTAATGATATAAGCATCCCCGGGCCGAGCCTCGAGCCTCCACGCTTTGTATGTAGCGCGCTGATGCTAAGATGTAAGAGAACACGAAAATTCAATTTTAACCGTGAGTCGGTTGAACATCCGAATTTTCATGGGTTGGGGGAAAGCTTTTGAAAATTCTCGTGCACTTGGATCCAAAACGCGTCGCGCTGATCTCAAATGAAATTGTAGAATTCAAAATTGATACTTGTTCAACGGATATAAAAATCATATCAGATGAGATGAGGAAACAAGTATATTTGCAATTTGAATTGACTCGAGAATTACGAAAGCTTTGAGCGTGCCGGTGTGAATCCTGGTTTCCGAGCCCCATGTGAAGGGTCTGAGAAGACAACAAGACTATACCAACCACAGGCACACTAGTGATGAAATGAGAGAGAATGGGAAGGTGGGAGGGTCGAAAAAATTCCGCGAAGGTTAGAATTCGCGGGGGGAAGTAGGAATGAAAGAGAAGAAGGCAAGGATTTCATTGCTTCTCGAATGACTATATCCTCGCAGCGCACAGACCTCAGAAGGCTGTCAACACCACGGAACGTGGTGAAGCGGACATCACCGCATTGCGCTTACAAAGCCCCTGCTTGAGTTGTTTCGAGCTCGCAAGCTCGCTCTCCAACTCGAGCCTCAATCTCCTTTAGCCTTTAGGCACTTTCGTGTTGTCTATTACTGGATAACTTCCCATAAGGTTTAGAAACCTAGATTATTTTTCTAAACTGACGTGCCGCCATGTCGTTTGCCAAATGGGTCACAATCTGTCAAAGTTGAACTCCGCTTGTCATCGAACACCCTCTTCTAGATTTTAATCTAGACGAGGCCTCCCCCCCCCTCTTCTAGTTCTAAATCGCTTGCATAAACCCTTTTTTCATTGTCCGACAATCAATCCCTGAGCATCCCGTCCAAATCAAGCAAGGCATCAAGATCTATCAAGATGCACCAACCTATGTAGCTGGTCTCCTGAAGAACTATTCACTACATCTTTCTTGTATTTCTCGAGAAACAATAGGGAGTCAACAGTGGAAGACAGACAAGTCATTTTTCATTTGAACCGGGTTTTGTAGGACAGTTTTTTTCATCATGTTGACGATGTATGCAGCTCTCCTTCAAACCACACACCCAGGCATCCGATTGCACGTAAGTACAGCTTGTCTTCATGTTATTGGTCAGTTCTCCTCACTGAATTCTGTATC